GTGAACTCGCCGGCGGTGGTAAGGGATGGGCAGCCTCTCCGGGAGCAGGGGAAGGGCTCTGCATCCCTCGCTGGGTGGGTGGAGGGACCCCTACCCAGCAGCCCCACGTCAAAACGCTGGCATTTCCCTTGAGCAGTCACCCATGGAGAGCAGTGTGGGGAAGGGGCTGGCATGGGAGGGACATGGGAGCCTGTGTTCATGTACTGCCCACAAACTGGTCCCCCCTGGAAGGCAAGGGCTGGGGAATGTTGCCTACAACCTCCTTGCTCCAGCTCCTGCTCTGCCTTGTGATAACTTAGAAATGCCTTTAAACCCCTCTGGTGCTGAGGCTGGCTGAGCAACCAGACCAGCACATCCCAGTCATCCCCAGTCACGTCCTGCCCTGCATCTCCTGCAGTGCTGTTAAACCCATGGCGTTTTCCCTACGGGGCCTGTATTCCTTTGTCTTCCCTTTTCTCCCAACACATTTGGTGCCTGTGTGTGTCTCTGCCCTGCAGCACATAAAGGCTTTCTACAACGCCACATGGTCCCGGCGGTACGGGCATGGGCTGGCCCCCGGCCCCCTGACCCTCCTCTACTCCCTGACTGTCTCCATCTTCGCCCTGGGCGGACTGGTGGGCTCCTTGCTGGTGGGGGTGCTGGTGGAGCGGTACGGCAGGTAAGGAGGTGACATGGGACAGGGTGCTCGAGGGATGGGGCCGGAGGGGCTGCCCTGCTGCTTGTGCCCTGCTAGGAATGGCGCGCTGAGCCGCAGCGCTCTCCTCGTCCTCCTGGCCGGTTGCTTCATGGGTTTCAGCCGGGAGCTGGGGTCCCCTGAGATGGTGATTGTCGGCCGCTCCATCACAGGGCTCCACTCAGGTAGGTGCTGCCTAGGCTGTGGGGCTGCACATGGCCCCTTCCTCACGATTTGGTCCCTTGCAGCCCATTCCCAGGGGGCTGGAGAAGACTTTGTATTCCCCATGGCCACAGACTCTGCAGTGGGGGGCTCCATGGGGCAGACAGGGCCACCTCCCTGGCCATGCTGTGCTGTCCCCACTGTGGATGGTGCTGGTCATGGGGA